GAATCGAATATGACGATCATCCAGGTATGATACAATGATATGAGTCACCTAGGTTGGTGAGTTTTGAGGTGACTAGAGAGACCGACACGGAACCCGCAGCGTTGTCCTCATTCGTTGCACATGTGGAGGACTACTGCGTGAGGGGCGGTGGCAGCGTCTTTCCGGCGTTGGGGCTTGTCTGCCTCGTTTTGCAGTCGGGCTAACTCGAAAGTATTGACACCTTCTCGTGTGGTGCTCCTCCATGCATTATGGTGTGGAGTAATCGACTCCCTGGTGAGGGGTCGGTTTGGCACTTTTTCAGGATTGCCTTAAGACTATCCTTGTACCTTTTCAATTGCCCGCCGGCATTACGTTTACTATTCATTAGGTGACTGTTGTTTAGCAGTCTACTATCGACCATGCGGGTAACACGGCCAGTCCAAAGTAGTTGTTCATGGATAATGGTAGTCTCGATGCTCCTACAGTGTATGTCAGCAAGAATACTGGCATTTGTTCTCTCGTCTTCCCAGCGAACTTGGATGACGGAACGTAGACAACGTTGGTGAGAGTTTTCAAGTGCCTTGAGGTGCCTCCGGTATGTAACCCATGTCTCGCTGCCATATAGCAGGGTGGGGAGGACCACTGCTCGATATACGTGCAGCTTTGTAGATAATTTCAACTCCCTACAGCTGAAGACACTATTTCGGAGTCTGCCAAAGGCTTCACATGCGCATCTGATCAGATCCTGAATCTCTTCATCGATGTCCGCGGTGGTGGACAGGTGGGAGCCGAGATGCCAAAAGTGGGCAACATTAGAGAGGGTAGTACCGTTAAGCTGGTTAGATGGTGGAAGTGTGTCTGAACCAGGGGCACATTAAAAGAGAATCTGAGTCTTACGTACATTCACCTTAAGGCCGAAGTGTGCATACGCGTCTGCATAGGTGTTCAGGATCTCCTGTAGGTCGTGTTCAGTGTGAGCAACAAAAGTGAGCTCGTCTGCATACTTAAGTTCAGTAATGGAAGCTGCCGACTCCTTTGTTCTTGCCTGGAGTCGTCTTATGTTGAAAAGACCCTTCACCCGGTACTCGATGTTCACCCCAATGGCTAAATTGGCACTTGCCCGAGTAAGGAAGGCACTCAAGAAGATGGAAAAGAGAGTTGGTGCCAATACACACCCTTGTTTAACCCTTGGTTGGATGGGAAAGAACTGTGACTGGGTGCCGTTGTGCAGGACACTGCCGTTCATGCCATGATGAAGTTGCCTCACAATAGCGATGAATTTTGGTGGACAGCCAAAATGGCTGAGGGTCCACCAGACGGCCTACTTGTTGACCTAGTCGAAGGCCTTGGTTAAGTTGATGAAAGCCATATACTGGTCACGACACTGTTTTCTGCTGTTTTCCTGTAGCTGGCGGGCAGCAAAGATCATGTCAGTGGTGACACGATGGTCTAAAACCACATTGAGATTCTGCGAGGAAGTTTTCCGCCTCAGGAAGAAATCTGTTTAGGAGAACTCGGGCGATAATCTTGCCAGCTACAGAGAGCAGGAAGATCCCCCGGCAATTGCCACAGTCTGACCGGTCTCCCTTGTTCTTATAGATATTGACAATGGAGGCGTCTTTAAGAGCTTGGGGGATTTCGTACTTTTCCCATATATTCTCCAGGAGAGAGTGGAGACGGCCGGTAAGCAGAGGTCCTTCTGCTTTATACACCTCTACTGTGATTCCATCAGGTCCTGAGGCTTTGTTATTTTTCATTTGTTTGATGGTAGTAGGTACCTCATCCACTGGAAGCTGAAGGACCTGCTGGGTAGTCAGGACATCCACATCGGTGATTCGGATGGGCTATGAATGGTAGTGCTTTTTCCAGCGCTGAAGGAGGCCTTTGTCATCTTTAATTATGAGGCTACCGTCAAATGAGCGGAGGAGGGCTGCGCCACGAGTGACATGTGCTGATCTGCAAGTTTTTGTGCTTCACATGCTTCATTTTTAAGCCAGTCGTTCTTTAGCTTGTGAAGTTCCCTCTGGGCTGCACCTTTCTTATTGCGGAAGGCATCAGCTTTGGTCTGAGACTGAAGGTTGTTCTACCAGTCAGTAAAAGCAGCATGTTTATCATCGATGAGTACTTTGATTGCCGGGTCATTTTAATCAAACCAGTCCTGGTGTATTCTTTTGAGCTGGCCGAGGGTCTCTCTGCAGGTTTTTGTCATAACAGTATTAAGAGTATCCCTTTCGGCAATGGGGTTACATTGTTTGCTGTTGGGTTGTTTATAAGCCCATGTTCGAACTGCTCTCTGAAAGCATGCGCAACCACTGGATCCTCCAGACGCTTAGTATCAAAACCTCTTCTGGGGGCTTGTTGCCTTCGCCGTTTTAGGGCGACGTGAAGTCAGTGCTTGGATCTGACAAGTGGATGATCAGTATCACAGTGGTCTTAGCCAAGCATGGCACGGGTGATGAGGTCATCTTGGCGATCTCTGCCTCTGACAGTGCTGTAGTCAATGAGATGCCAGTGTTTGGATCGTGGGTGTTGCCACGAACCCTTGAACTTATCAGCCTGCCTAAACAGGGTATTGGTAATAGTGAGGTTGTGTGCAGCACACTTGCTGAGGAGGAGTAGTGCCGTTGGTATTACACTTGCCTAGTCCATTTCTCCCTAAGGTTCCCTACCAAATGTTAGCATCTCTGCCAACTATGGCATTGAAGTCGCCAATGAGCACAACCTTGTCTTCTTTGGGGATAGAGGTTAGCACTCTGTCGAGGTCGGCATAAATGGCCTCCTTGATGTCATCCTCTGCATCCTGTGTTGGGGCGTATGCACTGATGAATAAGGCATGACGTGAGTGATTCAGTGGGACTCGAAGCGTCAGGAGGCGCTCGTTGATCTCAATATGCATTTCAGTTAGCCTGTGTAGGTTGCCTTGGCTGATGGCGAAGCCAACTCCATAAATGCAATTTCTTTCCACAGCAGGCTTACCCTTCCAGAAGAAGGTGTAGCCAGACCCCGTTTTGTGAGTTGGCCCTCATCTGGGAGCCGGGACTCACTGATGGCTGCTATATTGATGTTATACCTAGCCAGCTCTTTTGCCACAAGGGCAGTCCTTCTTTCAGGACGCTCATTTGTGCCAGTATCCAGAAGGGTCCTGACATTCTATGCAGCAACCATAAGAGGTTGTATGGTTTGTTTTTGTCTGGATCTGTAATTTTGGTTGTGTTTTCGACTGCATATGGATGACCTTACTGGGTGCGGTTGTCCAGTCAGGTTGGGTTTTTAGGCAGATATGTTTAGGGCACCTTTTCTAGTCCCCTCCCCATGTGGGGTGAGCAAAGTGGGTCCCCGAAAGGGCTGCTCAGTCGCACAGACAGGACCGGATTGCACTGCTGCCTAGATCCCAGTGCATAAACGACCGTCTTATCTGTGCCGCCCATGTGAAGAGTTGTGACTATAAACTCCGCCAGTCATCGCTGCCTGATCCGTCTCCCCTCGCCCGTCGCCATAGGACTTTTGGGGCTATAAGGGTTTTTATGATTATAAGAGGTATGATGAACTGGATGAAGGCTGCGCGTGAGTTGATTTATGTGGTAAGGCAGGAGCGTAGGCTGCAGTCACACATCTTGGCTCTCCCTTTTTCTGATCCAGTGGTGCAAGTGTTGCAACAACTGGGGAGAGGGAGGGTCGCAATGGATTGCCGATTGCTCAGTTTGTTGGGTTTCGCCTTAGTAGACTGTCAATCAGGCATTGCCTTCGTCTGCCGGTGTAGTCGTTGGGTTTCCATGGTTGTCAACTCTTCCGCCTTCACCGCCGTTGGGGTCTTGTTGGAGCTCTGTAAGCAAGTCTGCCCGATGTGGGGCTCCACCGCAGATTTTTCGTTCGGGGTTTACTCCTGTAGCCTGATACATGCCAGTGGGCGTATGCGCCGACCCTCGGGGGCCCACTGCTACTCCGAGATCCCCTGTTGATCTAGTCTGGACCCATGAGGCACCCAGTTACCGTGTGTTGCAACTAGCAGGCACAGCAGGAGTTTTGATGGTGAGGAGGCTGTGTACTGGCAGGGAAAGACTTATGCAAGTTGCTTCCCTGTTCGCCAGGAGGGCTAACCCGAGG